GTGTGTGTGTGTGTGTGTGTGTGTGTGTGTGTGTGTGTGTGTGTGTGAGAGAGACTACCACCTTCTCCGTTCAATTGGGCTTCACCAGACCACCCCCCCCTGATCCCTCTCAGTCCCGCCTGGGACAAACTCAACAAACAGGAAGTGAGGCACCAAGGCACTTCCTGTCTCCCTTTAAAATGGGCCTCTTGTTCCCAAGAGGCGGCACAGAGAAGCCATCGGCTGCTGCTGAAACAACTGCTACAACCATGTACCCTGCCACCTTCACAGCACATACAAACACCCCAGGCCTTTGTTTTGATACTGAATTCGGTCCAACGCTTTTCCTTCCACCTGACCAACCTATAACGTGAGCCAAAAACAATGAAGCCCGTCTCCACTTGCCAATTGGGCCACCGAGCAGCTGTGAGGTTTTCCATGCCTCACACAGACAACTTCCACTCTGCTACGCTGCACTAATACTTGTCTCATCAGCACTCATTACGTTTTCTAAACATGTAGCGTGTTCCCGATTTTGCAATGAATCCCTGCTTCCAAGTTATTTTTTATATATATATATATCTGAATTAAGTTGTTTCAGTGTTTCAGTAGCAAAGGAGCTGCATCCAGAGCTTCTATAATTAAGCGTGTGCATGACTGCGTGTGCGTGCGGGCTGACTGTGTGAATCTAAATGCAGAGGTGAAGTTAGTGCAAGGCCATCTCTTTCTCCATCTCCTGAGCCAGCAGGACTACGCTGAACACACACATACACACAGTCTTTGTTACGCAACTGGCCCCCATGTGTGAGGTCTGCCCTCCGCAGTGACTGGAGGGCAGGTGAAAGTAGAGAAGGACAGCCAGTCAGGTCAATACTTCCATACTGACTACACTGTATGTGCACTGAATGACAAAACAGCTTGATCGTACAGTGCAACAGCCACAGGGCATAATGCCATTCACTTCCTCCAGGCAAAGCTTTAAATAGACAATGATTTAGTTTGCTAAAGCAGCCCAACTTTCCTCAAAGACAGGCAGCAATGCGCGGAGGGGGTCTGCAGGGCCGAGGGGAACGAGTGTGGGGTTCGATGGAGGAGAGAATGGCGTCCTTGTTGAGCCTCTGTGGAGGCAGCCAGGCCTGCCAAAGATAGCCTAATGAGAGACACATGGAAAACAGTACGGCCTGCTCAGCTAATACAACACACACACACAGTGTGATGATACAGTCAGAACTATTGTTCCGCACCGCACATTATAACATTTAGCGACTGATCCACTGAGGGCAAACACACACACACACACACAAGCTCTTGTCATGTGATGGAGCCTCGAGGTGTGTATGTGCCCACTGTCCTGCAACACGTCAACAGCAACACATAATACGGGTACAGAAATATTAAACCGGAGAGGACAGTGGGATTTTCTTTTACGCCGCAATTGTGAACAATGATGGCCACAACTTAAACTTTGGACTTCATTGTCCTTTCAATTGCCAACTTCAGACTTTTTTTTTTAGGTAAACTCAGGAGAACCACAATGTGTTGTTGTTAGGGGTTAGGGTTAGGGTTAGTACATAGAGTATGATAAAAAATGAGATGTAACATGGTGTTTATTTTTTGTTCCTCCAGCGTCCAGTCTTTATGCTAAGCTAAGCTAACTGGCTGCTGACTCCAGCTTCAAACAGACGGTCTTTACAGTGGCACTGATTGAAGGCATGATTTGTTTTAAATCTAAATCTCGGCAAGAAAGCAAAAGAACATGTTTCCAAAAATGTTAAGCATTCCTTCTAAATAGGTGTTTTAAATGGTTTCTAATGGTGTGTTTACATGCATGTGATGACAAAAATGCTTAATAATCTTCTTCAGTTTTGTATGATAGTATTCATAATACATAATTCAAAATTGAATTAAACTGAGATATCATCCTATTATATTAAATCAATGAAGTTTGGTGAGGTTTATGTTGAATTCGCCTCGTATAGTATAGCACAGTAAGTCTTTGTTCCTGACTGTAATATATAAAAAAAGGCAAAGGCTGGGAAATGATGGCCGATTCCATCTTATTTTGCTTCATGTCCTCCGATGACAGACTGTTCAATCGCTCCATTTTAAACAGGATGATCAACATTACAGTTGATGCCGTTTCTACTCCACACAATGCTACTGTTGAAAGGCCAAACATTGGAGCCCAGGGGACGGAGGGCCTGCCTGGGCCGAGGTCAACGAGGACCTGCTTGGATGGGTGTGCCCCCCAAAAACACACATCAATCAAGCCTGATGACATCACCGCCAAGCCGCCCGATTGGCCGACGAAGACGCCGAGGGAGAGGAAATGCCAGAAATAGACGTGATGGCCCATTTTGTCTTAATGAGCCCACGAGGCATCAGTGCACTGTCCAGGTCCCAACCCTGCCTTGATCAGGACTGGGGGAGAAAAGAACATAAGTAGGTCTATTCCTGGCACAAGCCCCTGCCTTCACAAGGCTTCTGTGTGTGCTTCACCGAGGTCTACTGTATGCAGAACACATATGCAGCCTCGCAGATACACGGCACACTAATACACACATGAACGGCAGGCTGTTATTCATACTAAGAGTAGCCGTGAAGTGTAAACAAAGTTCTGAATCACAGCGAGGCCTAATCTAATCCAGCTGCGTGTGTGTTAAAGCTACTATTTTACCCTTGCCATCAAAACGCTCCTCGGAGAACTAGAAAGTTATATTTAGACTTTATACAGCAGTTAAGGCAGGCTCAGGCTAGCTAGCCCCACAACCACAAGAGAGGGGAACCAGTTCATTTCTGCTCCGACTGCCAGAGCGTCAAACTTAAATCCTCTACCCTCTCTCTCTCTCTGAAGCACAACAACCAGCTATACAAGTGCACGGCACAGGCTCTCACACACATGATACTTGTTCCAGGTAGGGAACCAAAGAGAAGGTCAATTCTGCTAGAAATGACCAGAAGGGAAGGTCGGTCAATGCTCTGCAAACAAACAACAAAACAGAAAAAAAATGGAAAAGCGCCTCCCTGCCCCCTTGTAAGGGAACACTGTGTCCAAACAAACAGCTGTGCACAGCCAAAAGGGCACACAGGAGGACGAGAGCAAAAGTTGCGAGTCTGAATAACTAGCTGACTTCTGGCTACATGACATTTCATTCCTAGTCTTAACCTACCCTCCTGACAAACCCTGTCACCGGCAACATCGAACATACCTCCCCTTCAAATCAGCTATAACAGGATGGCTATGTGCCATCTTATGTCCCTCTGGCCTCAACTCCCCCCTCCTCCTCCCACAAGTCAAGATACCCCGTGTGTCTGACTACAGCAGAATCTCTGCCTGCCACAGCAGCACCGTCCTCAAATGTCTCCTACAAAACCGCAGCAGCATAACAGAGAGAGAGAATGTGGAGGAGGAGGAGGGGGGGGGGGGGGGTTAGTGAAGGTCTGACAATGTAAGTGAAAGAATGCAGAAAAAGGCGAGTTTGACATAAACAATAACAATCAACAACAATAACAACAACGGTAAAGGGGAAGGAAAGGTCAATGAGGGAAAAAGAGAGATTTTGTTCACTACCGGTAGAAGAAGCAGTCGCAGCACACCAGAACCCCCATCCAGTCAGCGGTGAACCCTTCCTCCCCTTCACCTTCCCGTCTCCGCTCTTGCAAAACTCGGCTACAGGTGCAGCGGCTGCAGCATAGCACCTCTTGTAATCGAACAGCTACTGTAGCGGCATCTGGCTTCAACGCAGGACGGACGGACGGACGGACGCACGCAGGCCGATGAGGGAGTCAGCCAAGTAAATATGCAGAAATACTTCAAAAATCATTCACAAAACCAGACACACTCCTCTGAGCATGTTTCTCTTTCTCCCTCTCCTTTCCAACTACTGCAGCTGCCTGCCTGCCTCACTTTCACACTCACTCTCTCTCTCCCTTCCTCCCTCTCCCTCTCTCTCATTCGCTTGCTGGCTCCTATTTGAAAGGCGGGAAGATTAGCTTGGCAAACAGCGTCCCATAAACAAAATGCTGACTGCTGGGCAGCACAGGGTGGACTGCAGGGGACAGAGACAGAGCGAGAGAGAGAGAGAGAAACCGAGAGAGACAGAGAGAGAGAAACAGAGAGAGAGAAAGAGAGAGAGAGCGCAATCTCAATCATCTGTATACATCCTATCTCCACCCATCGCTCACACAAAACAAACACACGTGCCTTTTGCTCAATCTGAGTCGGGGTCAAAATCCCGTCAACCCTCTCTGAACAGTTAATCAGTGCAGCCAGTTGACAGCTCTCCATGCTTCTGCACATGAAGTGACACGTGGCTGCATTATAACAGCGTGGCTAATTATCAACTCTCGAGTCAACACCGAGGAGGGACTGGACACGTGAATGAAGAAACGTGCAGCACGGGATCTGCACGTATAACCGGGACTCTTCATTCACACAAATGATGCAGAGGTACGGGATGGGAGGGGCTAGCGCGGACACAAGCCTCCAGGAAGCGAGCCAATCACTGCGGAGTACTTGTGTTGTTGGTGCGGGCAAATAAGGTGAAGGACACAGGGTGAATCATGGGCCTCCTTCCATCTCTTCCCTGTGTCATTCAATGAGAGCGATCAACTTGCTTTTGCCCTCTGCTGTTCACTTGCTTCTTTACGCGTCAAAAACACACACAAACGCTTCCAAAAGCACTGCAGCAGTCAGAGGTGTGTGTGTGTGTGTGTGTGTGTGTGTGTGTGTGTGTGTGTGTGATATGCTGTAATCGAAGGCTGCAGTCAGACAGGACACAGGATTAATTAGCCGACCGCGACAAAAGGCAGCCGACACAGCGGCACACTGACGCTCGATATCAAACGGCCCAACGGCGCTCCGTCCAGAGGAAACTAAACACTACAGCCTGCCGAGAAAACGACAACAGAGGCAGAGAAGACGGCCCCCCCCCCCCTTTACAGGACGGCAGTTATGTAGCCACCACAGGGGGACGCTTTTGGCTTTTACTGTGTCGCTTCCTCATCAAAGAACTCCTGAACAGTGAGATGGATTCAACAGTAGCCAGAGCTAGCGAATATTTTCACCTAACCGCAGGACAACACAGTTTGTCCTCCCTCCGCTGCTCCACTCTGCTCCTGTTCTCGTTGAGATAAAAGATGACAAAGATGGACCGCAGAAGCTCCGCGAAGCACTTTTACATCCCATGACGTCATCCCTCCTCCTCCTCCTCCTCCTCCTCCTCCTCCTCCTCCTCCTCCTCCCTGGAGGCCTGTCACCAGGAGCTAACAGGCCTCCTCTTTCACTGTTTAATTACTTCATCTCTCTCACCTGCACACACACACACACACACACACACACACACACACACACACACACACACAGGAATACACACTTGCAACACTCGTGACACCATTGCTCACACAATGAAGGCAGGGGGGGGGGGGGGGGGATCTTGCATGAGGAACAGAGGAGGGGTGTACAGCGATAAGTGGGTTTTTGGCACTCATTTGTTCTCTTTGTGTTTCAGCACCTAACAGTCAGGATGTGGGTTTGTGTGTGTGTCAAGTACAGCAGAAGGTCATGTGCCCTGTAACAAGGCAAAGGGTGTGCCACAGGAAAAGTGAAAAGAAGTGAAACTGCCATTACATTAACTGTCACTTTCAACAATATGAGCAAGTTCTCGTGGGTCACCTTGTGTGTGTGTGTGTACTTCCTCAAACTTTTGGGCCTTATCATGAAATCCAGACCAACAATAAAAGCAAGACATCCGTCCGGATGGCAGACAGACAAAGAAAGACTTTTTTCTTATAAACTCGTGACTTGGAGAGATAACACAATGAGGAGAGAGAGGGAGACCGAATCAGTGGGCCGGGGGAGAGACCCGACTCGTGACTGGGTTTAGAAACGCCAGGATATGAATACAGGCCGTTGCAATCATGTCACGGGTAAGTGGGAGAGGGGGGGCAGCAGACACATGTAGTGCACATCATTCACACTGCTACACAAACGCATACAAAGTTGCTAGGTGATGGGACGGCAAGAAGGGGGTATTTCTGCCAAGGGGAAGGAGAGAGAAAGATAAAGAGGGAGGGAGCAGAGAGATACTTTTGCTCTTTTCCATAATGGGATTGAGGAAACAAAAGGGAGAGCCCCACACCCCCCACACCCTTAAAAGCAAGACGGACAGGTTTCTCCTGATCCTGCTCCACAGACGTGGGTGCCACAATGAGATGATAAATTATATTATCAATGTAATTTTGTTTGCAGCAACAGGGCATCATACTGTATACGTGCAGTGATTTCTTACCAGATGTAGACCTGAATACAGATCACAATAAAGAAGTAGGCTCAACTGCATAATGTAATAAAAAGTGTGCTTTAGCATTATTGAAGAGTTATCGTAGGATATAAAGGCAATAAAGACACTGTAAGCCTCCATGGAGACATCACAGGGTAAAGTGAACTGATTTATGAGCTAAGCATATCACAAAACGTGCTGTCCTCCCTCCTCCTCTTCCTCCTCTTCCTCTCCATATGGATAACGCGTTATCAAGTTACCGCTGCGAACATGACGTCCGTCTCTTACCTAGTCAGCGTATAGGACCCGTTCCGTTTAAACCTCATCCTGGACGACAGGAAGCGGATGAAGAAATCCAGAATTGACGGCGTTTCAGCTTTTAGTCGCAGCCACGAAAGAAAGAGACCCCAGCGTGTCTCTCTCTCCTCCGGACGGCGGCAGAACAAACAAAACGCGGAAACAATACGGAGTTGCTCTTTGCAGTCCTCTCTCTCTCTCTCACACTCACTCCTCCAGCACCTTTCTCTCTCTATCGTTGCTTCCCAGACCTCCTCCTCCTCCTCCTCCCCTAGTTCCCTGTCGGACTAGTTTCCGTGGGGCAGGGTTAACGACTCCTCCGACTGCAGGCGTTTCGATTCAAACAATAGGAGCTCGTATCGGTGGAGTGCGATGCAAGTTGGGAACAAATTAAAATCCCGTGATTTTACCACGGAGTCCGGTTGAGGCCGGGTGGGCTTAGTGTGCACTGCCTCGCTGACGCAAGCCACCGCGCGTTTACTACCAAAACACACCAGAAGAAACGTGGACCATTTCTTCCATTATGTCCACATCTAGATGCACTCCTGCGGCTTCATTCGGCCACATAACACCGAGCTAAAGCCACGTCTAAATACAAAGAAAGCCAGATCTTTGTGAAAAATGGTCACCGATGCGAGCCAGCTTCATTCTTCTCCCCATTCACGATAATGGGGACGCTGTCGTGTTTCAACAGCGTTTCCTCTCTGAGGAGCTACACACACTCACACACACACACACACACATATATGTGTATATTCCTCCATATGCTGAACACAAAGCAGACTCCAAACACAGCTCCGGTCAACGCCTGAAGAGTGAGACAGATTTAAGGCTAAGAATAGGACCGAGGATCCATTAATGCCATTTAAAGCCAAAGTAGTCCTTCCCAGAGCAGGCGTGTGTCTCTTTCTAATGGACAATTCGTGATGCATGATGCTGGTAAACATGCAGGAACAAAATAGAGTACATAATAGGGGGATGTGGTTTAATAAAGAAAGAAACAGTGGATTTCAGGAAATTACACTTTGGATTATTACAAATGATTGTACAGGCGGTAATTCGCCTTTAACGATGATAAAACAGGAGGTCTACCTACTAAATCTGCCACTACGAGCTCGCGACCTCACACCAGGTGCTGCAGTGAGGACAATGACCAACAACAATGGACCACAATCACTGGCTGGCTAGTGAGTAATATCCCTGCATGCTTTGCAGCATTTTCAGCATCCTCTGTGACAAACGCGGCGAGAAATGACAATAAAAAACGAGCTGCAGGAATTTTACAAAATGCTCAAACTGGCTTTGATGAGAGAGAGGTGACACTGGAATGACTTTACAATGATGGAGTGTGATGTTTAGTGCTGCAGCCAGACGTCTCAGCGCATCAGGTGTGTTTGTGTGCCCTCAGGGAAGATAGCTGGCCGCCTGATCTGTACGCCCCTGGGACTGTGTGTACACTGGATACAGCGCGGGCGAGTCAAAGCTCTTGTTTTGTCAAGTTTGGATTATATGGTAATGGCTAAAAAAAAAAAAAAGAAAGTTGGTACAGAGAAGTTGGAAAATAGAAAAGATAGATGGATGGGGAGAGTGGGAATACGTTGAGCAGAGGGCCAGACCACAAAGACTGACGAATGGAAAGACCAGATGTGTTTTTCTTACAGCCAATTGAGAAAGCATTGTGGGGGGGGGGGGCATGCAACAAGGGTCCCAAACTGGATTCAAATCCAGGATGTTTATGTAATGTGCTTAAGTACTTGCAAGAAGCCCCAAAAATTGTGTTTTTAGAACGTTTATGAAGATTTCTGGAAGTGACATGAAGACAAAAAGAAAAGAAAAAAGGAGCTATTTTCAGCTGAAAACTTCTAAACTTTAAATAACCTCCATGATAATAACGACAGAGATTAACTAAAGGACAAGTAATCTAAGAGCAAACATTCAGTTCAAAGGATCCTGAAGACTGCGTCCGCTAAAAAAATAATGAAATGTCTTATTAACCTTTGTGTGTGTGTATCTGGAGGGATTACCATACAGATTGATGAATCCAGGCAAGCGGTAAGTTTAAGAGCATTCAGGGTTATTCAGCATTGCGTCATAGAAGTGAAGTGTGTGTGTGTGTGTGTGTGTGTGTGTGTGGTTCCTCCACTCCCGCAAAAGCACTCAGGGTCGGTTTCAATGGCTCCGAGCTCGTTTATTACAAGAAGAGCAGCCTGGCACTAGAACTGCTGATCAATCGCATCACTGCTGCTCAGTCAGTCACTGCAGAGTTACACAGCAGCCACTGGAGGGGGGGAAGAGGACTATGGGAGGAAGATGATAAACAGAGGATGAGAAGAATGTGGAGGACAGAGAAGGTTTGGAGTCCAAAATAAAAAGAGGACGGTTGAAGGAAAAGCGGGTGAACACTGGAGAATGCAGAGGCACAATTAGCCGGAGCTTTATTGATGCAGTTCAACCCCCCCTCCCCTCTATTCAGTCTCAATCCATTCCTCCTTCCTGCACTTATTCATCGCCTGCACCTTTACTTCCCTTGGTTTTACTGCTCCTCTTGCAGCCCCTTCATTAAGCTAATTTGAGCTTTCTTGCTTCTTTCGCAATCCCCCATTCAAGCCTCTCTTCCACGCACCTCCCCCCCCTCTCTTGTCTTTTCTCCCCTTCGGCCCATCGAGCTCAGATCCGTCCCCACATCTTCCTGCTGCATGTTGTGCAAGAATGAGGTGAACTTTAAGTTTGTGTCCATGCATACAAATAGTGTTCAAGACGCCAGGCAACTGCACAATGCCTTCTTTTTTTTGTTTTCGTCGAAGGAGGAAGCTGCAGAATTCAACTAAAATGCTCATAACCTCGTAGTCTCTTCTCTGCCACGTTCCAAGTGACAGAGAAGCTTCCAGAGTCGCTGGCTGCTGTGCTGTAGCCCTGGCCCCTCCACAGGCTTTCCAGGAATACATTGCACAATTAAATGCCGGACCGCAGTGCACAAACACGCACGCACATGCACACACCACTCCCTGCTGTAATGCCAAAAAAAGATGAATCTTACGAAACAGCAAACATGTGTGTGTATTACGCAATTTAATGCACATAGGGTCTTTGCTGCCAAGCACCAAGAACGTACTGTTTCTGTCACCAACACACCCTAAATATGTCTCAGCCCACACAAATAAACACACACACTGAGCACAGTTCGAGGTATATGTGAGCTGGGGCCACGCCAAGCGCTGCAGTATGAAAGGGCCTGTGTGTACAGCAGGCCGGGCGACGCCAGGAGTCTGTCTGTCACACACAGCCGGGCCCACAATGAGGGGACACCACCAGTAACTCACCTTTACCTCAGTGGGCCTGTCTGTCTGTCTGTCCATTAGTCCACTGGTCTCTGTCTGACCATCAAAATGACAGTGATGTTGATATTGTCTCAAGTGTCTCCTGGATGTTACGTTTGGGTGTTTCCGGGCTCTGCGCTGAATCAGTATTATCTTTCTATATCTGGACAGCTTTGGTTTCTGTTCAAATTCAGGGAAATTAAATGCAACGTTATCCACGCACTGATCATTGCTTTGGTGTAAAGCTCAGCAATAGCGTTGGAAAAAAACAATCTAAATTCAAAAAAAGGAAGGAAAATGATGAAGACACTATGGTCACGCTGAAACCATTAGTCGATATTGGTCTGTAGGTTCGGGGCCGTTGATCAGACAGCCAGTGACATTTCTCATCATTTTAACAAGCGAACAATTAATTGACAATGAAAATAATCCTGATATTCTTTAGCAGAATTTGCGTTTATGGAGCCTGAAGGGAAAAACTAAAAGAAAGTGGCTATTTTCTTCACCGATTGAACCTCAATGTAATTACGACGACTTTCAGTTCAGCAAAATAAATTAAATGGTTCAGTATTTACCAACTAGAATGTTATTCCTGACCGTGTGGAGAAGACACCGTTTAAAAATACTAAAAATGCCTTTTTTTCTTGAGTAACTTGCATAATGAATCAAATATGAATCACCTAAAAATGGAAAATCATTCATTGTGTGGTCGCCAGTCTGCATATCCATCCTGTGACCGGGGAGCGATGAGGGACACTGCTCAGTGAAGCGCTGATATGGAGAACCGCTGAGGACGGCGGGACAATGACGCCACCTACTGTCCTACCAGAAATAAGCATCTCCACGTTCTCCTTCTCTCTCTGGGCCTGAGGAGCAGTGAGGAGAGAGAGGCAGCAGGCAGAGGTGCAGGCGTTCACTGATGTCCTGTTGACTGGTATGCCGTCCGGTATTGCTGGCATGTGAATAAAGGCTTTGCACCTGAGATGGGAGGCAGCAGGTGAGGATAGAAGATTTAAAAAAATGATCTAAAAAGACGAAGGAAGGAAGGAAGGAAGGAGGAAGGCAACGCTGATGCCTCAGGGACGTCTGGTATTGCTGGTATGTGAAAGACGTTTTAGGGCATTTAATGAACGGAGGGAGACGAGGAGGAAGAAGGCCTGCAAGGAAGCCATGAGGGCGAGTTGTTGAGCAGCCATGTTGGATCCTTTGTGGAGAAACGCATTTAAAAGCTTCTGGGCTTTTTACCGTCAGTGAAGAAAAGTAAATCTCGGATCTTCTTTCGCATTGAATGTGTGTGAATGTGTGCAACCGCTAATGAATCATGATTTGAACATCTACACTACCCCCTTAACTTCACATGAAAACATAAAGAAAAAGGTATTAAAATAAAAAAATGAATAAAAGGAGTGTGCCTCAGCACAGAGAAGAACGGCACTACTGATCTCTGTGTCGGTCTCTAGCTGGTGCTGGACTGGTATTGCTGGTTTCATGCTGCAGCCGCTTGATACAGTCATGCGATAGTGGACTGGAAAGAGTCGACAGAGCCCGGTGCACACAGAGAAGGCCTGTAAGCCATGATTACGCAACAGCCAGATCTGATTTCATGCTCATTGGATCTCTCTCTCGTTCTTCCCCTTCTCTCTCCACTTGTATCGACATTTCTCTTCATGCCACCACCAACTGTCTGCTACATATTGTCCTTTTTGATTATTATACACACACACCCCTGCACACTGGACAGTCATGTGAACTGGACATGTGCTGCCCTCTTGTGGTAAAAGACGACACTACATCAAAATCCTGTTTAAAGCAAATGATCAGTTCTCTCTGCTGGTCAAACCAGATGAGATGAGGAGAGCCTGCATGATATCAGGGCAGCCAGCGTTATTAACCAACCACAGGAGAGAACATTTAGAGAAATAAAACACAGGTCCTCGTTGTGATGCTTTCCTGTTACAGTCAATCACAAGGTTCAACAGCACATCAGGCCATTTCAATGACTTTCAAGGTCATTTTATTTCCATTTTGTTTATTCGTCTCCATTAGCTTCCTCTAAATGGAGGCCATCTTTACTGACATCACAGAGGCCTGATTGTTTTACTCATCATTACTATTGTGGCTAAATCGATGCAGATCTCCGTCAGAGGTTCATGGGTTGAGGGGTATTCATAGATTAAGTGACATTAAAGTAGTTTTTATCATTTTCCTGAAGAAGTAGTTTGGTGGATCTTTATTCATTTTCAGAAATCTTAGATGTTTATTTTCCTTCATGGATTTTTGAGGCCGGTGGGAACACGGTATCAGAATAGTGACAATCAGCGAATCACGCTGGAATGTACGCAGACAGATTGCACGAGTCAGTAATCGATTTAGTAGAGATCTTTTATTACTTATCTTAACAAAACTCAACATCATTTCCCCAGGTGGTCTCATTTAACCCCTTTAATGCAGCTAAGCTACAGAAAAAAAACTAAGATACAGAACCTTGGAATCTCAAAACTACAACAATGTGCCGATTTATATTTTCAAAAAAGCTTTACTGTGACTACAACATCCTAAAAAAGTGGGTTCTGCACTCGGCAGTCTTTTCCCCAAATGAATGATGCAGGTAAAACCACACACCTTTTACGTATATCATTTTCTAAACTACTTGTTAAGCAGTGATAATGTGACCCGTCCTGATCTGCATCAGCAGGAGGCTGTGAATCACTTATATCCATATGCAAAAGATAGGAAAATGTGAACTGACATTCCTTCAAATGTATTAAAATCTCCAGACTTGTCACACAAAGCGTGCTTTGAGCACGCGGAGCATCTCCCAACAGCTCTGGTGCTCGAGGAGGTCTTGCCAGGTAGCTTATGCCCACACTGTGTTTTTTTTAAGTTTCTGGAACGGAAACTGGAAATCTACCGATATGTTTTGTGCATTCCCTATTTTGTATCATTCTTGTCGATAACTGCAAACCACAGCAGCACATGGCATGACATCACATCAAATTTCCCAGAGGCCTCTTCACTAACACTGTCGAATTAACGAATATAAAACACGGCACAAAGGCTAATTACCAGAATTCAGGCAGGCGGTGCAGCTGCACACAGAGCCAGAGCAGTTATCGCGGGCGGAGCACGGGACACGTCAATAGCGAGACAGAGGAGACCGAAAGTGAGAGTAAAGACACGTGCGGTTAGAGACGGAGCTCACGTTGCCTCTTTCTGAAACGCAGAGCAGAGTGACAGACGCCCAGCTGGAGCCCGCATGAGGAAGCCAGCGCTTCCTGTGTTTGTGCATCTCACCGTTTGCTTTTCAGAGCAACGAGTGACGAAGACTTCCTACGAGCTCATGATCCCGACTCCCCTGGCCTGTCGGAGAGGCAGAACAATGAGGAGGAAAGGAGAGCGTGTTACAGCACAGGGGTGAGGGCCGAGAAGGAGACGAAGGGGACAACACACACACACACATACACACACAAGCCAAACATGAGGCCATATGCAAACAGAGGCACGGATACAGGTGGACACGAGGACACACACACCCGGGCCAAACAAGCAAACATGGAGCGAGTCGAGCACAGAAAACTGTAATAACAGCAAGTACAACATAAGAAACGGGGAAGCACAGAAACCAAATGAAGAGTCCTTGTGACCTCCACAGTGTCAGCTTCCTTGCACCAAACGTCACACACACACACACACACACACACACACACACACACACGTCTTCAAATGAAAGAGTCCCCACTACCTCTCGCAGAGGTTACAACGCAATCCCCGGGGATCATGAGAAAATGTACCATCTGTGTGCACTGTATTTCTGCCCCCTCCCCTCCGGCCCTGAGAGAAACACAAAGTCAACAGAGCGGACCAAAAAAAAAACAACCCCTGACCTACTGTTCCTCTGTGAGAGGAACCGGATGTGGGGAATGCATCTCGGTTGTTCTCATTGTCTCTCGCTCGCGCGCGAAACAAAACGTGCAAACCGACGCTTCATCCAAAAGGTTGCGGACAGAATAGCTTACAGAGCGGATATCCAGCACACCAGTTTGTGCACATATAGCCTCATCCAGAGCCATACATAGACCCACACGCACGCACGCACGCACGCACACGCACACACACACACACACACACACACTTGACAAATCCTGGCTTTTGAAGTGGAGTCACGAAGGTCATAATGACTGTGTGTCGAGTGTGTTAGAAGAGACATGATGATTAAAGGGGCTTTGAGACAGCCCTTCTTCCTACCTGTGGCTTCTCAAAAAGCCGGACATAAGCAGCACAGCTCTGCAGAGGCAACATGAGATGGACCCCAGGAAGTAGAGAAGGGCAGAGTAGCAGAGCAGAGGAGGGGCCAGGAAGAAGATGAAGAGAAACGGTATGCGACAGACAGGAGGTCAGGAGTCACCGTTCGCTTCACAGAATCTTCTCCCTCCATCGCTCTTCATGTAGGCTAATCTCTTCCATCTCACCTCCCCGAGCTGGCCCGCTCACTTAGCCTCATTTAACCAGCTAACGGCTGGTAATAAATCAGCAGCACACTCCTCTAGTAGCCCGCTCTGCTCCGCACGCTCCCCCCTGATGTATGACTCAGTCCACTCGAGCTTCCAGTGCAAGGCAGCTACTGTGGGTAGAGCACCCCAGTTGGGAGTACGGGTCAGACAGCAGGCAGAAGACAGGAAGGGGAATATTAAATGTTGGATATAACGATGAAACTGGAAAGGAAGGACTCACCATTTTCTTGGAGTTTAGATGAATTTTGTCTTTGACAACCAAAAACCAAAAACTAGGGGCCAGAGTATCATTTAAAGAGTTTTAATAATAATGCCGATACAGTTCGAGTTTCAATACCAATGTTAAAAAAGTTAAAGTTTCCCATTTAGATCTAAATAAAAAGTATACAAGCCTATGAATCTGACAAAACATTCAGTGTTTCACAATTTGACAGCTTTATATACTTAATGCTACTGATACAGATACAGTCGGCCTCTCACGACAATATGTTTCAGTGAAGCTCTCGTGTCGACAGACTGAGTTGGACTTGATGGTGAGAAGAGGTCCTTCCTCCCTTCCCCTGGCTTCCTGGATTAAACTGCTGGCTTTGCTGCCACGCCTTCGCTCCTCATAAACACCCCGCGGTTACAGCTACTCTTAAGAGCTGCTAGCTTTTTAACGCAGCTCTTAATGCTACCAGGCTGTTGGCTCAGTGGTAGCGTTTGTCACAAGCCACCCAGTCCAGAGGCCACCGGTGATTAAAAAAGGCCTTTTTTTTTTTTTTTTTTTTTTTTTAAGAAAAGGTCACATTTAGCAGGTTTCTATGGCTGGAAGCACACTCCAGAGAAGAAAAGGCCAGTGTTGTGACACCAGGCCACACAGCTGTGTATGCCAGGTCTTCACTGTGTTTTAATGAAGTACGGTGTGTGTGTGTGTGTGACGGTACACGGACAGAGCATGTTCCCCAGTCAATCACACGTATCCGTGTTTACACACACTTCCTAAAGGGAGTATCAGAAGCCTTATAGGGATCAACTCCTCTGTTGTGCGTCTTGTGTTCAGCACTGAGCTGCTGTCTGCCTCGCTTGTGGGAGGCCCAGTCAGCAGCTCCCATACAATGACCCTAACCCAGCAGCAGATATCAGATGACCCCGAACACCAGCTCCCTCTTTGCTCTCATTCCAACGAAAGCTCTTCCCTCAAAAACATCTCGCTCCTCACCCACATCCCTCCTTTTTTTTTTAGACAAACTCGCACGTTCATCTTTAGCAGGCTTCAGCGAGCTGTCAGCAAGGTGGCCCGTGTTAAGATCTGCAGATGTAGAGATGCTAATGTTGCATCTTAAAAGCAGAGAAAGACACAGCTGCTGCTGTTTTAACATTTGGACTGTTGAGCGGACAAAACGAGACATTTTAAGCCGTCTCCGTGGGCTCGGTACCGAGTACCATCAGCTGGGTGTGGATTTGGGTGACTTGCCTCAAATCGCAGTGTGTGTGTGTCCTTCCTTTACGATCCTCCCACATCAGAGCTACACCCTGCTCCCCCTCCCTGTATCTCTGTTCACATGCTGTCTGTCACGGTGGCAGGAAGTTGAGGAGACGTACCGGCCACATGGGCAGATCAGAGCCATACGGCCGACACATATGAAACATATGGCTGCTGGTCTCACGGCCTATCGGCTATTAAGCCTCCTCCATCGCCGTCTCCCTCTAATCTTACTGGCTGCATTGCCGCGGTTTAATTTCCCTCACCTCACCTGCATCTACATGTGCGACGTGAGCGTTGACAAACATATGCATGTACAGATATACACACACACGCAGGAAACACTTTTTGTGTTGTATGGGTTGCTGCACTTTGGTCTCTTAATCTCTTGTTTGAACCTGCCCTACACACCTCACCCCGCCCTGCTCATGTGTTACAGCGATGAGTAACAGCTGGTACCTTTTAGTTCTCTGTTTCGTCCTTGGCAGGTAAAGCATAGAGATAGTGTCAAGTTTTTCTATTTCGCTTTTGTTTTAGTTTGTTTCCTGGCACGAGATTATTCTTTGGAACTGCTGCAAAAGATATTATTAGAAACTATCATGAGCTCTATTCCAGTTCCTTCCAGTTAGTGAAGCAAAGACAACGCTTTGAATGAGGTCGAAACCATCCAAGACATCATTTCTACTTCCTGTCTAAAGCTGCAACACAGGAAGTTCACAATTGAAAAAAGGTCAAGAGCAGCGCCCTCACTTTGAGTACAGTAGGATGTCTTCATATTCACATCTATGGTGTTCAGTATGAGGCTTCACATCATTATCCACACTTGACAATCTTCTCCTCTCTTCTTCCCGTGCTTTTTTTCCTCCCGGGCGCTCTCAGCGGGGGCTCCGGTGCAACAACTGTAATCCCCTTTAGAGAGGGTATCCACAGCACAGGGCTGATCCATACACATGCACACCAACACTAACGTGCTTATGCACAAAAAAAATGCAAGATTGTACGCCCGTGACAGCCAGCGGGGGGAATGGGTGGGTTGTTGATTAAAGGGGATAAAGAAAATAGCCGGGAAAGAAGAAAGTTGAGGAGGAGCAGAGCCCCGAGTACCGAGATGAACTTGGCTCCCCGAGGCGCTTGTGCTCTTAAAGTATGTGTGTGTATACTTGGCTCGCCTTGCCTGATGCAACGCAGAGATCTCTAATCCAATTACAGGTCAGACCAGCCTAGCGGCCTAGCCTCAGCCACCAAGGACAAACCCAGCTAGCTTACACAGACGCTGGCGGCCCACCGGCTCTGCACAGATTTAGCAGCTCACTGCTCAGCCGAAGCCTCGCCCAAGGGTGCCGACCACATCCTAGTGAAAAATAAATAAAACAGAATTAAATGCTTCCTCCTCCAAGACAAATGAGGTCTCTTATCTCACTGGTTGAACGGGGAAACACTGGTCTGCTGGGCGACCGCTCAAAATCTTGGTTTTAAAGTTTTCCGGAATCAAACCAATGAATAAAAGGACTCCAATGCATTTTTATACGTCTCTCCTTCTGTTGGTGTTCCCTCCCTCCCTCTCTAACCTGCACACGGCTCCAAACTCCATTCCTCTCTCTGCTGTTAAATCTCCCTCTCTGTCCTGCACTGCAGACCTCTGCTGTTTCTAATCTAGCTCTCTGACCCACGTCGCCTCTTCGCATTTATCTCCATATCTCACCCATCGCCTCGTGCCACTATCGTTTCCCTCCTTCCATCGCTCTTCTACCCGCACTTTCTGTATCCTCCTGCTGCTCTCTGCCTTATCAGCTGCCCCCACCCCCCCCGTTCTTTCTCTCTGGTGTTTTCATTTTGCACCCCTCCGTTACCCCATCTCTCTCTACATATCACATCCCGACTCAGTCAGGGAGGTTATGTTGTTGGTTCCTGAAGAAATAATTAAGCTTTTATGAGAACAAGCAGATTTGCTGATTCCCAAAACTGAGGACGATGGGTAGGTTAGACACCACGTTGCGTCTCTGTGGGATGAGGCTGGTTTACCGATAAGGATCATACGTGTACCTGCTGATACTACCACCCCATTTACATCATAACATTCAGAAGCTGCCCTCTTATCATGAAATCTGATGACACAGAGATCTCACACTCTTCCGATTGCTTGGGAAAAGTGAGTGTTAATTAATTGATTATCTACCCAAAGAAGAAAAGTAGCGTTAAATGTAATTTATAGCCGGAACTGAATCTGAACGATTGCAACCAGTCCTGAAATAAATGCAACCAGCTGTACTGCAGCGTGTCCCTTGTGGGTGGATGGCAACAACAGCAACCCTCCTGCTGCAGGGGGTTCAACTTTTTATAGCTGATCTTAAGACAGCTCTAGCTGGCAGCGCTCCATGACTAAGATCCTCTCTGACAGAACAGTAGCTGCTCCCAGGCCTGTGGCAGCCAGTCCTGCTGCTGGAGGAAACAGCGAAGTCCAGTTCTCACCAATAAGAGCTAGATGTGGAGTGAGAGCGGGACAAAGTAGCTGATTAGTCACGACTGGTCCTGCCCTCTGTTTTTTCCCCCCCCCCCCCACCCACCCCCCCGTCTGTCTGTCCAGTTGATGGCGGTGCCAGTTGTTTGCGCTGGGCAGGGCTGCCCAGAGCGTTATGACAGAGTAAACAGTCGCAGCATGGTGTCACTCTCCTGCCAAGTGAAATACAGGAAGCACACAGACAACAGTGTGACCTAAATGAGCCGAACAATCTTCAAAGTGAAAGAGAATCACGAACAAAATCTGCAGATCAACCATCTTTGTTCAAGCTTGTGAACAGGTCAGGACTTATTGGAGTGGGCGGAGAAGCTTCACAAGCACAGCCAGCAGGCAGGTATTGAGTTGGGTTGCATTCGCAGCTTCTCGATCCATCACAGTATGGAAGTTTGCACCACTACTCACGCAGCGTGTACCGCCCTCACCGGCTTTTGAAACCTCGTCTTCGCTCAAACACACTGGCGAAAAAAAGGGGGCAAAAACAAGCGCAGCGTTTCCGCCTCAAGTGCTCGACGCAGCCATGCTCGCATTAGGATTCTTCAATTATCCACTTGTGCATATTCAGTGAAAGGCATTGCCGAGTCATTCTGGTATCGCATTCATTTCTGGGCCTCTCCCGTGTCTTTGCCTCGGGGGGGAAAGCGAAGGGAAGACAAGGAAGCAGCGCGGCGTCTCAAGAGACAAACCAGAGACAGTACAGCCGTATTTACTCAGGGGTGTGTTTGTAAGTATGCGCGTGTGTGTGTGTGTTCTTGTATCCAGGCTATTTGCCGCCTCAAAAAGGCATTCAATAGAGCCTTTATTTCTCCCTCAGTGATGCACGTCGATGTCCTAAAAACCCTCCACGATACAGCACTGTGTCTTCAGGCCTGGAGATGGCTCACTTCAAAAGTATTCAGACCTGTTCTCCAGACACCAGCTAGTTGAAAAGCGCACTGCAACATGACGGTGCAATATTTGATACGTTATAACCAACTCACATCAGTTGTACGTCAGTTAAGGGGAGCAAGCAGTAGTTCTTTCTGTACTGACTGCACTTCTCTCCAGTCGTGGCCGTCACTAGATCAACCACTTGCTCGAGGTGTCACCGTCCTGTGAAACCCGAAGTCATCGAACACCTCAGCACCACGACAGCTGAGCTTTAACGGTGCGACGAGGACCCCGCAGCTCACTTCGTTTGCTACTGGGGAAGAGGAGGACTCTGCTACCGTTGCCCCAAAATAACGACACAGACTTCATGAGAAGCAAACACCTCCAAATGTCTAAAGAAAAGGAGGCCGATGTCAGAGATGAGAGCTGAGGACTTGTTTGTTCAGACTCTGCACTGCCTTCCACCGTTTTCCTTCCTTCCTTCCCAGAACCGCACAATACAGCTTTTACAAAATATTACTCTGTATATAGACTATCCTCCTCCTACATGTCTCAGCTCCGAATACACATCACACCCATGCTAGCTTTTGTTGTTTAACATTTCCCGTAGAGGGCTGAGGCTGCCCTGGGCCTGCGCAGCGCTGCCTTCGCTCTCTGCGGCTCAACAGTCCAGCTCAGGCAGCAGTCAAGCACGCAACCGTCTCTGCACATCAGCGTCCCGCGAGAGAAAAAAAGAGAAAAGAGAGAAACAAACAGAGCCGGGGAGTGAACGACAGAGTGACTTGGAGGGTTGAAAGTGACTAAGATGCCTTTTCTGGGGAGCAAACAAACCAACTAGCCTTCCCGTCATTCAGCCAATCCCTCAGCACGGCAGCACATCATGGCAGGACAGCCCGAAGCATGCGGCTGGGCCCAAGGCACACAAACCAATGAGGAGAGAAACATCAAACACCGATTCGAACATCTGTATTTTTGCCGTTGAACCAACACGTATGGCAATGTTTGAGGTGCAATATTTCGTGGCGTTTCCAATATTTTCTCCCCCTTGTAAGCAAATGGAGGTGGACGTAGTATTATTTGAGTCAACACATATCTGACGGCCTGACGTACAGTAGTAGTTATTGCAGGACTGAGAAATTGGATTGCATTTAACAGGGGCTGATATTTTCCTGACCATTGAGCGATACTCTAATGAAACAGAAACGCTCGGGCCTAATCAACCGCACAACAGCTCAACTCCGGTATCGACACGTGAAACTTAAAACTGTGTATGAATAAGTTGATGCACCTAACGCCATCAGTCAAAGGAAGTCAAAACAACTGATGTGAAACATGGGTGTCATTTCTCTCAGGGTTGGGTGCTGTGGGCAGCCAGTGTGTGTTGAGGAACTGGGCTACCTGCCACCCACAACACGAGTCCAATTTGTAAAACAACAATGTCACTAAAGGTTTGGCTGGCTTACGTGGTCTTAAAAAGTCTTGGCCTGGGCCGCCTTTGGTGTGTGTATTCGTAAAGCAACTTTAGTGCCAGACGCAATAAATTGATTCTTAACAGAACGGGGTCCTGACTGCGGGATCTGACACACGGATGGAAGATGTCTTCACTGTAACAGTAACAAGCAGGGGCACACTCAGACCTTCTGCTAAGCCGACTACTACACTGCCCTCAGGTCAGCCCTAATAACAGAACAGTGTGTACCAGAGAAACACGATGGATTGTGAAGCTAGAAATAAATACAGCAAAGTCAGACTCCATCCCCGTCTAGACCACGCAACGCGGTGACAGCGTCGGTTAGTTGCTATTCTCGAGCAGGTGACTGCCTCGAGATGATGTCTGCTCATCTGCCACGGCGCATTATCAGCAGCGGAAACAGACACCTGGGCTCCGTGTGCAACAGCGTGTGCAGAGTCAGACGTCTGTGTGTGTGTGTGTGTGTGTGTGTGTGTGTGTGTGTGTGGTGGAGATGGAAATAAGGCAGTAGGGAACATCTACATATACACGCAGAGCAAGTCGGAAGCATGAAAGAAATATTTCTCAAAACATGCAGCCTCAGAATGAAACTAAAACCACCACCACACAAAACGCTTGCACAGAGTTTCTCATGCTTGGGTTGAGCACCGTGTATAGAGGTACATCTTTAGAAAAGGTTTTTAAGAATTAGTTTGAATAACTTCTGTTCTATAGGTGGAGCCGCTGTACATCCTGACAGATATGGAGTGGCAAAGTGTTTTCCTCCACTGTAATATATATATTTTATATGCTTATGTTTACATATTCAACACACTTTGTTGCTGCGATGCGATAAGGAACACCATCCTGTACTATTCTGCTGTAAACAGCTACTCTAAGACACCAAACCACAGTTCTTTCTTAGGTGTGAGCCACAGTGAACGAGACAGACGTCGTCTGCTGAAGAGGAAGTTCAGTCTTGAAGTGGTTCTTGTAAATTCCACTTCTCTTTCTGCCACAACACCAATCACTGATGTCGTTTATCTCATTTGCTCTCGTTATCAACTGCAGCAGTGCCTGGTTCAAAGGCATCTGGACATTTTCCAGAGCAAACCTCATAGTTCTTAAAGTTGTTTGGATTTCTTATTTCGGGGGGAAAGATGAACACTTTCTCAAACATATCAGTGTTGCATCAGCCTAACTTACAAAACTACTAATCTGATATACAGTTGATATTATTTTTGATCTTGCAGAAAAACATGTTCAAATCAAGCGTTGGCTTCTCAAATACGAGAACCCAATGATAATTATGCCACAAAATGAGAGGATACAACAAGCGAGTGACTCTTTCGCACTATTACTCGCATTAATCCCATCGTGCAGGATAATGATGCCCATGCACCATTAAGTCACAGGTGATGCAGAGCGAGCTACAGTAAGCGTAGCCTACATTAAATCCCGTCTCGTGCTCCGGTCAGGCGGCCTAAAGTGGCGCTCCACTTAGCTGCTGTAGTTTCCATTCTCTCGCTCTGCGTTCAGCATTACCAATCCATCACTCAAGAGCGAGGGGATTAAACATCTGTCGAAGCCCGTCCATTCCACCCGGCAGGAAAGAGAGACATTTAGGCGTCACGCATCTCTCCAGTGATTTAACGTCCTGTCCCGACTCTGAATCGGGACGGATGAGGTCATTCGGCTCTGAAATAATGCACCAAAATAAATGCACTGAATTTAGCTCGCAGACAACATTGTTGCTTATATTTTAATGCAAGCACATGAATGACACACACCGTTGTTAAGCCTCCCGCAGAGGCCACAGGGGGAACAATGTCATTAGTAGGCCGTCATCTGCTAGAGACCTCAATTTGATTCCCTGTGGAGCTTCATCCTTCCCATCAACTACACCACCCCTCCCCCCTACCTGCTAATTTCCTCCCTAATCAACCATTCCATCAAAAGCATTCAGATCTCCTTCCTCCATGGGTCACAAACCTGCCGTCTCCCATTCCTCCATCCCTTTAGATCGCCCTGCCTTTCCCCTCATCAGTCTCTGCCATTACATTCATCACGCTTTTTTCCTTCTGTTCTCTCCTCCACATTTCTCCCCAAATCAGCTACTTTCACAACCATCTCTCTTTCTTCCATCCTCCTCTCCCTCCCCTCCCCATCGGTACTGGCTGTGGCGTCCTTCTCCCCGGGTCTAAAATTCAGAATGATTACACGCTTGTTTAACTCATTCATGGACTCCACTCCGTCAGTGACGCACACGCCCGCTCGCTTCAGTTGCATTCAGCTCACATACACACCTCGCCCGCATCGATACAGTCGACAATGTGCAGGTTTCAAATGAAGGTAAACACAAATTAGACCTGGTCAGAGGGGGAAAAGGTAATACAGAAATAGACAGCTGACACTGACGCCACATTGTAGATACCATACTTAATTTGTCATGAATAAAAGAAATTATAGTTTTTCTGAGTGATGACACAATGACTCATTTAAAAAGGTGTCACTCCACAAAGATTGAGTGTCAGTGTGATTTAATATCAACTACATTTAGTGAAAATCCCCAATAATCCTGATTGTTTGCAAACACAGGAAGACATCTGCCTTCTTGTTTACACTCTTCTACCACCAAGACGTAACTGGGTGTTGCTTTTGAATTCCTGAAAGATCACTCAGCAAACCAGTTTAATCCGACCGCACCAAGTGTTTGGGCAAATAATATAATTATTTCATGGGAGTGACGGGGGGGGAGGTTAAGACCTATAAATCACATATACAACGGAGAGAACTGTTGCAACAAGTCGACGCAAGAACCGGCTACCAACACCAGGAAAACTAGAGTCAGGAGCTTTCAGAGAGAACCAATTATGTTTGGTTTCAACTGCACAATGCTATATTATGTTTGAAATAGGCCATGCATACAAATACCAAAAACACATGATCATTTTTGTCAGGGTCATCCAAATTTACAATCTACCAAGATTGGATGAAACAGAGACTGTTTGGTAAAAATGGTGGAAAAGACAAGATAGATACATGCAAACCAAGCAGTTCCAGGAGCAGTATTTTAGCTCATATGCCGCACACGCCGGTACTCTGGTTGGGGGTATAGAGGGGCAGCATTGTTATCTCTAAGCCAAAATGTTATGATGTGAAAAAACCACCCATGATAACATGCTTCCACCCTTCCTCAGCCCCAATCTACTGGCGAAGTGCTGCTGCCTGCCAGCCACACTGATACCAGTCAGCAAAGAGGAAACTCTCACAGCGACACACCTTACTGTGCAAGTCCAGACAACCTGGTGACTTTAAGTTTGCATAGCAAATACATAAGTACATGCAAGACTGGTCACTTACACCGATGTCACAGGTTGGATACAGTGACCACAGCCTTGGTGTTTGGCTGTATAGCAGGTGTAACACTGAGGCAGGTGTCTCTCATTCAGTAGCGCTTGCAGCTCTCACCCAAACCCATGACTCCAGCTGTATTAAGCAAACAGTAAGTGACAAACTGCACCATCAAGGTTAAATAAATACACTCCACCTTAATGACAACTCTATATTGTGTTTCAGTGAAATTACTCGCTGCCATGAAGCAACGTCTCCATAATGTTCATTCATCCCTCTCCAAGGTTCCCATCTCACAAGTATAAAAGCTGTATCCTCCACCAATGAGCTCGTTGTCACCAAAACCTCTGTTGCGTCCCAAAAGGTACCGTGAAGTCAGCATGCCTGATGACGGGCAGGTCTCGTGAAAGCGGCCAGCGCACCTTGCACAGGAAATAAACCTAAAACCGCCGCGTTAGCAAGACTGACAGGTTGCTAACGTTAGCCCCATTTGCTGTGTTAATCATTCCTATAAATAGACTCCCTGTGCAGCAATACAGAAATATTCTCATAACCTAATCTGGGCACTGCCACCGTTGGCTGGGTGTCTGCGGGCCGCAGAGATGATACCAAAATACCGCCTGGCCCTGGGTAACAGTCCGGCTGGTTTACCGCTGCAGGATGAGACCGTTACCAGCTTTGCTATCGAGCTAGCATCGCAGAGCTACACTAAGCTAGGCAACATGCTACCCGCTTGTGGCTGTGCGAATGCGTTTGAGTGGGAATTTAACAGCATTCAGTACGACAATGCACCTGTCTACTGCGGACTCCGGTGGTGACTGCTACCGTGCAGTACGTTTGCAGTCGGCAGTAGAAAGACTACGCAGTTGACCTGACAGAGGAGAGTAAGCTGGCTAGGCACGTTAGCGGTCTGTACTCACCCCATTAACCAATCCATGGCGCTGTTTGTGGCTAGCTTAGCTAACGTTAGCTAGCAGGGGATGAATCCACCAGGTGCTGGAGGCGACCCCCTAGTTTATCCAGCCACCACCCTCGCTGCCCTGGCCCGCGAGTCCGGTCGCCCTCCCCGGGGCTCGTGTCTCTCTCCCGGCTGCTGGATCCTGGTCGGTCAAACGCAAACGCCGCTTCAACTTTGAGCGATTGTCCTTGTTTTGATCCTCAGCTGGCTCGGATCATGGAGCGGCAGTGACACAGTCAGATCAGTCGGTTAGCTGGTAGCGGGAGCGCCGCACTGAGTGACTTTGAGCAGGAAGCGGAGGAGAGCAGGACAGCGGTTCGGGGTCTGCCTGGAGTCGCGGGTGTCCGGTGTGCAGTGGCGCCGAGAGCTTGGCCGTTGGGGATGCCGCTGGTCAAATCGGTAACCTCTGTCATGAAGCCTTGTATGGCTACCGTGCTATAGCTGACAGCCCGGACCTCCACTGGAGCTGCTGCTTTCTGAGCGGAGTCTAAATCGGAGTCCGGAAGTAAACACAGAGCCGACCCACTCCGTCTCTCCCGTGCGTAAAATGCGTGTCACGCAGGGCTGTATGAACATGGATGCAATAGGATACGTAGTGAGCGAGTTAGATATAAAGGTAGTGTCCGTTTGCTTTGACTGTCCGAGCAATTGTAGACATCTAGGTCTACTAATTGAGACTTTATCACTTTAAATGCATGGCGATCACGTCTGCTGTCGACATTGAGTTTAATTGTTATAACACATGAGTTGCCATCTTATTCTAGGGCAGTGTTGCCCAACCTCTGGGTCAGAAACCGCAAAAGGTCCCAAGATATAAAGGTTCCCCAGATGATTTAAAAAAAATCAAAAAAGTAAAATGAGACAAATCCGAGAGGGACAAATCACTGCTCACAAAACCAACCTGTGGTGAGGGGTCACAATTAGACATTGCTTTATTCCAGGGGGTCGGGAACCCCCTTTTTTTTAATGAAAACCTACTATTATCCTTTTCCATCTGGTCATAGCTGATATGTGGAGGTGCACCTTGGGATTAAAGCTTACTCTATAACAGGACAGGACTTCCAGTATAACTAATTCTTTATGGTCGTAGAAATTAAGCTTTTAATTGACCAAGGCTTGACCAACCAGGGAATGCAAGCATATGGTATAGTAGTATAGTTTGTATTATGTTCACATTATGCACATCTCTAAATAAAGTTGTAATCCGTCCACTCATTACCAGAAACTCAATGACACACCGAAAGCTTGCGGCCAGGTACTCCACTTTGGGGATACTGGTGGTCTCAGGCTCTATGGGCATATAATGAAGCTGCCATGTACATTCTGCCGTGTACCACTGTACTGGATGGGAATCTGAGATGGCAGTGCACAGAGGGAGGTGCTGTAGGTTGAGGCTCAGTTTTGCACCATAGCCCCAGTTAGTCGGTCCTTTAGTGAGCCTCCTGTAGTTGTCATCACTATAACATATAGAATAGATGAACTCTCCAAACAAAACCCAGAGAAATGTCATTGGGGGGCCATAAATCTCAACAAGGCTGCATTCATGTGCACTGACCTCTCACTGTGAACCTGTGCAGGCAGAGCAGGTAAGTATCACTGGCTAAATTGTTATATACTACCGGCTATACCGCTCTCCTTGTTCTCAGACACCGACTCCCAGAGGCAGAGGGGACTTATATTTATGTCCTGTCCTACATTAAAGGCTTATGTTTACTGAGTCTATGTCAACTCTTCATTTAGTCAGGCAAGATGGCATTTCATCAGTTAGTGTAGATTAAAATTGCAATAGTCCAAAGAGCCAACTGCCTCCCCTCTGGTTTATATGCCGTTTTATTCTGTGTTCAGAGCAATGTGCTGCTGAAAGCGCTGATTAATTGATCAAGAGAAACTTAATTCCCAACTACTTTGATAATTGATTAATCTTTTAAGTAATTTACCAACAAACAAACAAGCTAAACAGAGCTGGTTATAGCTTATGAAAAGTGAGGGTTTTGCGGCTTTTCTCAATTTTATATAATTAGATTGAAAATGTTAAAGTTTGTACTTGAGCAAAACAAGACATTTGAAGACTCACTAAGGCCTGAGTAATTGTGAAAGCCCATTTCCACTATTTTCTGACAACTTATTTATTACTAAGCGATGAGTCGCAAACATGATGTACAGATTCATCAATAATGAATGTAATTCACTCTCAATTTTGTAAGAGAAGCATGTTTTTTATCGTTTTGTTTTTACACGATATAGTGTCTAACTTAGAGAATAAAAGAATGTGATTTAGTGACGATGGTCTTTATCATTTGCCACTCAATTAATGAGTTCTATTTTGGTACAGGAGTATATATAATTCATCATGTACCCCTGCCTTAACTATTTATTCTATATAGCTTTTTACTGTATTCCATTCCTGTTCTCTTTATCTCCATTTTCCCCTTTAGGAAAACCATCAATTAGACAGATGCAGTTTGCATAGATGGGATCAATATGTACTTTAGCCTGCAAAAGTGACTGGTCTCCTCTCTTCCCGTGTGCCTCCCTCTCCCACAGACCATTAGAGCGAGACATTTGATTGTCATTATAGTCCTAACAATCCTTTCTTCCTTCTTTTTCTGTCTCGCCCTCTCCTCCATTTCTCCTCTCAGCATCCTCGGCCTTCTATAAATAACAGGAGCACGCAGGTGACATAGAGGGCATTCAGAGAGAGCCCTGTTAACAGGAGGCAGAGCCACATGATTGGCTCGTTGACACTCCAGCTGCGTCCAATCACGTCAGCGAGAGGCGGGGCTACAGCGAAGATTGACAGGAAGCTGGTGGAATCCTCAAACCTAATGTAATGCCTGCAAAAGCCACACGGGGGCAGTGTGGGACGTTTGTTTACGCCAGACCTGTGCACAACATAAGGAACAGTTATTAAAAATATCAAATTGGTAGTGTTATTTTGTAATCATTGTTAAACATCAACAGAGCTCCCTGTGGATCGTTTTTATCAGAACCACATGCAGTAAGAGACAACGTCCTATGAACATTCTTATGAAAACTATTTATAAATAGGCCTAAGTATTAAATACTCTGGGATTATGCGGTGGACACAGAAATCTTTTTTTATCGTATAGGTGCATCAGCTCGTCGTACCTTTATAACCATTTACCAAAGCAAATTAGAAGCTGTGTTCTCTCTTGGAGCCATTTTTCACAGAAGACATTTTTACAGATCACAGAAGGAAAAGCACAGGTGTAAATAAGTAAATGAATGATGGTTGAATCCCGTTTATCATGCTTCAGTTTCAGGGTCATGGCATTGTGCATGCTGACTCACTGTCACTGTTATGGCTTACTGTGGGTAGAGCAGAGCCATTGGTACGGCCTATATTGCTGTTAGCAGTGACAGTCTCCTCTACATTAACTCTTTTTGACACTCACAATCTATGACACTTCCATTACCAAATTCATGACAGCATAGCAGTGTGACTACATGACCTATGCTCAGTCTGCAATGACCTAAGACCAGTCAGGCGAACTGTGTTTACCTCTCACAAGGATGTTTTCATCGGGCCGGCTGGCTCCAGAGATGTGCTCTGTGGGAAAACGAGCTGGGCTCTGGTCAGGTGCTCGTCTGAGTTTGCCAATGTCACTTCCTGAAATCCATCCACCCGTCAATACTGAGCCATCCAGGGGTCGCTATGTTCCCATTCCACATCAGCACAGTCGGTGCAGTGCATGAGAGAGATCTATGTCAGCTCGTCCTGTACCTTACCTAACCTATTCAACAAAAACAACTATGTAATGCAATCCAACAGCCTTCCATTAAATACTATAACAGGCATTTGTTAAAGTACAGGTGTAGACAATGTTAGTGGCTTAATTGGGTAACAGCTCCTTTGAACTGAACACCTAAATTAATTGTAATAAGGAGTAATCATTTGTTATTAATTACAGCTGTGCTCTTCCTGCAATGACATACCAAAATGAAAAAAGGTATTTTTCACAGCAGAGACTCGCATCAACGGTGATTTGACTTGTCTTCTCTCCCCTGCAATCAACTATGGACTGCCCAAAATAGTATATATCATCACGCAGTCAAGAGATGAGGGGCGCAGTGTCTCTTGTTCAGAAGAGCACGCACTACGTTGCACTAAGTTGCACTACGTTGCACTAAGTTCTATTTAGTTAATTTGTGCTTAAGCTCCAGAGCAGTTATGTTTAGTTTATATATTTATTCAAATTTGTCACTTTTTTTTTTACTCTTCTTAATTCTTGTAAATACTTTGGGTGAGTAAAATCATTTTTTCCACCTTTACCTGCTCTCCCAGCTTTATGCTTCACAGATGTCAATGTTTTTTGTGACAAAAGTCTATAGAGCAGTACAAAGGTTATCTGTACATACACACTATTTCTACACTTGAGCTTCGGTGTTTGCAACTTGATGCACCCTGTAACACACACACTCCTCATCCACACACACATTACACATTTCTTGTGTTGTCAACGTAAGAAAAATCCTGACCTTTTATAGAATCCGAAACATTTTGTGAAAACCAAACACACCATACACACACACACACACACACACACACCCACACACACACACACCCCACACACCACATGCCTATAGATCAGGGTGAGTGAGGAATGACTGATATGATTTATCCATAGCTGGCAGCGGTAACTCAAAAAGCCATTAGGAGGCATTAAAACGGAGACACCTCACATTACTCTTGCATGAATAATAAATGTTTAATAGATGCAATGAGGAGTGTGTGCGCATGTTTGTGTGTTTGCATAAATTACACAGCAACTAGTAGCTGTAAAACACATGTATGTCCTCATAAAGCTAAAACTATGATCTGATTGTGTTTGATCCAAAATCCTACCAATATTATAAAAAAAAAAAGCGTGAGATTATGATTCGATATTATGATTTTTCAGCAGTAACACAGAAGGGCATTAACCTAAGTGGCTCCATGAACGCAGGCAGTGTGTGTCTGTGTCTCAGACATGTTTACTGTTAGCAGTCTGATCTCATCACTGATGGATTCATTTTTCAGCTTCTCAACGATGATCACATAATATAAGGTGATGATAATGGCCACTCGCATGACTGGGTTTCGTATTGTCGGCACCGCCAAGTCTGTGTCGACTGAGAGTGTAATGTGTGTGTGTGTGTGTGTGTGCTTGTTCTTGTGCTTGTGTCACTGCTGGCTCCACGCTGACGGCTGATGTCTTGTTGTATGAGTCAGTCTCAGCCACATTACTCATGTCTGCAGACCTACCTGGCTCCAGCACTCCCATTCCTAGAAAGGAGGCGAGAGATTGAGGAAAGAAGAGGATGTATTTGAAACTGAGAAGAACCTATTTGGGAAATGGAGAGAAGTGAAACCAGAAGAATTGGTAGACAAAAAAGGTGAAGTATAGGAGAAAAGTTGCATGCACAGTCTTGCCTCCGGTGCATCAAACCCTAAACCAACTACAGTAGTCAGTCAAAGCGTCCTGTTTTATTGCAGGGCATTTCCCATGCACA